ATCATTCACCATGTACCACGTGCTGGTCGGCGAGTCGTGCTACACGGCTTCTGAGGTTCAGAAGCTCGTGCAGCGCATCAATGATCAGAGCCCCGTCAAGGTCGCCAAGCTCACGGGCTCGTGGCAGTACTACGTCGACCTCGAGACCGAGGATGCCGCCGTCCTCTCCAGCATCAAGAAGATCCTCGAAGCCATTGAGAAGCCCGCCGATGCTTCCGCGACCGAGAGCAATGGCAAGTCCGTCGATATTTACGTTACTCCCCGAAACGTCTCGCCATGGAGCTCCAAGGCCACCAGCATCGCTCTCGTGTGCGACCTTAAGACTGTCAACCGTATCGAGCGAGGTCGAGTCATTCACATCGAATTCGAGGACACATACAATGGAGAGCAGGATTTGGTGTTCCGAGATGTTGTCCATGACCGTATGACTGAGTTCTTCAGTCTTTCGCCCCCGGTCCTTGACACCATGTTCGCTCACGGAATCCGACATCCCCTTGAGGTGGTTGATATCTTTTCGGATGAGCGAGGCCCATTGGCTGCTCTCCAGGAGCACAACAAGAAGGCAGGACTTGGACTTGACGAACCCAACATGGAGTACTTGGTCAAGCAGTACACTGCTCTCGGCCGCTCGCCCGTATGTCTCAGAGCCCGGATTTGAAAATCAATACTGATTTTAGTAGAACGACGTTGAGCTCTTCATGTTTGCCCAAGTCAACTCTGAGCACTGCAGACACCACGTTTTCAATGCTTCGTGGACCATTGATGGTGTCAGCCAGGAGAACAGCTTGTTTGGCATGATCAAGAACACCCACAAGTCGAACCCCGAATATGTCATCAGCGCTTATTCAGACAACGCCGCTGTGTAAGTCGCCTCTGAAAGTCACGGCCTCTACGTGGCATGGCTGGTTTAAACATTGCTAACTCGGTTTAGTTTGTCTGGTGATGAGGGCAACTACTGGGCTCCTGACTACTCGACTGGAAGCTGGAAGCTCACCCGTGAGGTTGTCCAGCCTCTTATCAAGGTTGAAACTCACAACCACCCCACTGCCATCTCTCCCTTCCCCGGTGCCGCAACTGGTAGCGGTGGCGAGATTCGTGACGAGGGTGCTGTCGGACGGGGTTCTTCCCCCAAGGCTGGTCTCTGCGGTTTCTGGGTGTCTGACCTCTTGATTCCTGGTAGCAAGAAGCCTTGGGAGGTTGATATTGGACGACCTTCCCACTACGCTTCCAGTCTTGACATTATGCTGGAAGCCCCCATTGGCTCTGCTCGGTTCAACAACGAATTCGGACGTCCTGCTCTGACCGGAACCTTCAGGACTCTGCTCACCAACGAGGCCGAGTCTGAGGCCCCTGAGTACAGGGGCTACCACAAGCCCATCATGATTGCTGGTGGCATCGGCAGTGTCCGGCCCCAGCACGCTCTCAAGGAGGAGGCCCACGTCGAAGAGGGTGCGCACGTTATCGTTCTTGGTGGCCCTGCCATGTTGATCGGCCTTGGAGGCGGTGCTGCCTCCTCTAACACCGGCTCTGAGGCTACCGCCGACCTCGACTTTGACAGTGTGCAACGTGGAAACCCCGAGATGGAGCGACGCGCCCAAATGGTCATCAACACTTGTGTTGCTCTTGGCCCAGAGAGCCCCATCGCTTTCATCCATGACGTTGGTGCTGGTGGTCTCTCCAACGCTCTCCCTGAGCTTGTCAAGGATGCCGGTTTCGGAGGCAAGTTCGAGCTTCGACAGGTCGAGAGTGCCGATAACTCCATGTCCCCTCTCCAGATCTGGTGCAACGAGTCTCAGGAGCGATACGTTCTTCTCGTCAATCGGGAAGGCCTCAACCGCTTCACGAGCATCTGCCGACGAGAGCGTTGTGGCTTCTCGGTCGTCGGATCGGCTGTTACCAAGGATGAGAGCGGTGTGACCAGGCTTGTCCTGACCGACCGTGAGCCTACAGTTAGCCCTCCCATCGATCCCATCAACCTTCCCATGGACGTTCTGTTCCCTCCTGGACGAAGAATCTCCAAGGACGTCCAGCGAGTCCAGAAGAACCTCCGTCCGTTCGATGCCGTCAAGAGCCTCACTGAGCAGTGTGGCAGCTCTGACTTGACTGAGATGGTCACCAAGGCTACTGAGCTGGTCTTCAACCTTCCCTCCGTTGGCTCCAAGAGCTTCCTCATCACTATCGGCGACCGAACCGTTGGTGGCCTGTCTGTTCGCGACCAGCTTGTTGGTCCTTGGCAGACTCCCGTGGCCGATGTCGCTGTGACTCTCACCAGCTTCAGCATCGATGACAAGAAGCGACGCGGAGAGGCTATGGCAATGGGTGAGAAGCCTACTCTCGCTCTCATCTCGGCCGCTGCCTCGGCTCGCATGGCTGTTGTTGAGAGTTTGATGAACCTGGGTGCCGCCGACATCAAGCCTGGCCCTGTCAACGGTGATCTCAAGCGCGTCAAGCTTTCTGCTAACTGGATGGCCGCTGTTGGTCACCCTGGTGAGGGTGCTGCTCTCTACGAAGCCGTCCAGGCCATCGGTATGGAGCTTTGCCCTGAGCTTGGTGTCTCCATTCCTGTTGGTAAGGACTCCCTATCCATGAAGGCTTCTTGGAAGGACAAGGAGACTTCCGAGTCTAAGACTGTTACCGCTCCTGTGTCTCTGGTCATCTCCGCCTTCAGTCTTGTTGAGGATGTCCGTAGCACGTGGACTCCTCAGCTTCGTCGGGTTGAGGAGGTCGGCGAGTCCGTCCTTGTCTTTGTGGATCTTGCTCAGGGCTTCCGTGCTATGGGTGGCTCTGCTCTCGCCCAGACCCTTGGCCAGATTGGTAACGAGGCTCCTGATGTCCGTGATGTTCAGATCATCCGTGATTTCTTTGACGCCTTGTGGCAGCTCCATCAGGTAAGTCGCAATCGATTCCGTCGTCCGCCAGTTACTAACTTTGCGCAGGAGGATATTGTTCTCGCTTACCACGACCGATCCGATGGTGGTCTGCTCACCACTGTCGCCGAAATGATGTTTGCCGGTCGATGCGGTGCTGACATCTCTCTCGATGACCTTGCCGAGTCTGAGGACAAGGTGCTCGACACTTTGTTCAACGAGGAGCTGGGTGCCGTCTTCCAGATCCGTCGCGGCGACGAGACCAAGTTCAAGAGGTGCTTTGCCACTTGCGGCCCCCCTCACGGTCTGATCAAGACCATTGGTTACGTCCGACCTACCTCCAAGCAGTCTCTGCTTGTCAAGTACAGGTCCAAGACCATTGTCGACCTCGAGCGCGCCAAGATCCAGCAGTGGTGGACCAGCACTTCGTACGAGATGCAGAAGCTGCGTGACAACCCCGACTGCGCACAGGCCGAGTTTGATGCTATCCAGGACTCCAGGGATCCCGGTCTGCACTACAAGCTCAAGTTTGACCCTGCCGATGTCAGCCTCCCTACTTTCACCAACCTTAAGAGCTTGGTCTTCAAGCCTAGAGTCGCCATCCTTCGAGAGCAGGGTGTCAACGGTCACGCCGAGATGGCCTTTGCCTTCCGTGCCGCTGGCTTTGATGCTGTTGATGTTCACATGTCTGATATCCTGGATGGGTTCTCCCTGGATGGATTCCGAGGTCTTGCTGCTTGCGGTGGCTTCTCGTACGGGTAAGTAATCTGGGACTCAAGGGCTATGGACAGCCTTTCTCTTGAGTGTGGAATGCTAACTTGGACAGTGACGTCCTCGGCGCCGGTAACGGATGGGCACAGTCCATCCTGATGCACGATGGTGCCCGCAAGACCTTTGAGGCCTTCTTCAAGCGACCCGACACCTTCTCCTTTGGTGTCTGCAACGGTTGCCAGATGCTGACTCGACGTGCGTATGCCCGCTCTGTCCAGAATCATGCTAATACTGTGTAGTCAAGGAGTTGATCCCCGGAGCCGAGCACTGGCCTACTTTTGTCGAGAATGCCAGCTCTCAATTCGAGGGCCGCTTCTCTATGGTCACCATCAACGACAAGTCGGACAACTCTGTCTTCTTCAACGGTATGAACGGCTCGTCATTCCCCATCGTCGTATCCCACGGCGAAGGCCGAGCCCAGTTCTCGTCGGCCAACGACATTGGATCCGTCAACGACCACGGCCTCATTCCTCTCCGTTACGTCGACAACTACGGTTCCGTCACGGAGAAGTATCCCTTCAACCCCAACGGCAGCCCTCAGGGTATCGCCGGTGTGAAGAGCAAGGACGGCCGTGTGGTCGCCATGATGCCTCACCCCGAGCGTACCATCATGGCGGATGTGGGCTCGTGGAAGCCCGACAACCAGCTGGAGGAATGGGGACAGTTTGGTCCCTGGTTCCAGCTGTTCCTGAACGCGCGTAAGTGGGTTGGTTAGAAAAATGATATCATGTAGGTGTTTTCGGTTCAAGGTAATGTTACATTTTTGCATGAATAAAAGAAAATCTCAATGAAAAGCTGAGAATAGGGACTTATATAGAGAACGAATGCCAATTGATCAAATCAGTGTTTATCGCCATGAGTTGATGTCTGACTAGAGAGTGTATTCTTTGCTGCTCTGCCTGATACACAGGAGTGTGGTGATTAGATAAAAACGTCCGTTTGTTCTCAACTCCATGGAGACGCGTTGAGTCCTGTCACACAGTGGGACTCTTTTAAGATTCAGTTCAGAGAAAAGTCATGATTCATCTGGGCTATCTAAATGAAGGTCGACCAAATGCCCCAGCTTGGTGTCGCTTGCTTAAGAACAGTGATATGAACATGCGCTATCTAAGTTGGTCGATCTCAGCTTCACCAAGAGCCTCGAGACTCCTGATTACTGACCCAGAACACCGCGTGAAGGTGCCGACCGTCGTTCTGGTACCTCCGTAAAGGCTTAGAGAACCTCTGTATTATCGGCATGGGGCAAAAAAGAGAGAAGGACAGGATTCCAAACATCGTCAGACACGCAAAATTTCTCCACAGACCGTTAAAGCTGTATGGCGCTAACCATGAAGCCGACTCAGGAACGAAGAGTTCCTATGTCTAAAACGGTATGTCGCGAGACAAATTTCGAGAAGTTGAACCAACTTCTGGAAATGGGGGCATTTCTGCCTTGATCGAGGGATGGAGAGACAAATCGACGTTGCTAAGTTCCATGATCAGCTTGTTTCCCCCAGTCCTGGAGATGGAATACTTACCAGTAAACGGTCCCAGTAGTGAATGCTAGGTTCTTGGGTCCCGGTAGTGAACGGCGGACTGCATCAACAAGGTGAGTTTATGGTTCGTCAAGGTCAAGGAGTAATCGCTTACCTTCATCAGAAGTCATCTTCGATGCGCCCGATAGGTAGGCCACCTACAGCAAGGGCACTCGTGAACGTATTGACTTCGTTCAAGGCCACGCTGGCGAGGACAAGGGGCTCTACCTTGGTGGGATAATCCTCAGAGCGAATGACGGGAGGCTCCCGGGTACCATTCTCCGAGAAATGAGCAACGCGGCGCCGTGCGAGAGTCAGGAGGTATTCGCGGTTGTAGGCCTCGACGCGTCGAATCTCACTGTTGTCATAATTGGCAATACAAGCTCGAAAGGCGCTAGCCTCGTCCTCATGGAGATTATAGTTGATCATAGAGGGGTCGATAGGCCCCTCTTCCTGGCCATTTTCCTTGCCCTTGTTCTTTCTCTTGCTCTTGTACTTGCCGATCCAAGTGATAGAGCGATAACCGATTTCCAAGCCTAGGTAGGCGGTCGCACCCTGTAGGCCGGAGAGGGGGGTCTGAGACACTTCATCTTGGTCACGCTTTCTCTTGCGTGTACCAGAGAGGCGAGTGTTGACGGTGCCGACTTCGATGAAGATGTCATAGTCGGTTTGTTCGAGCAACTCGGGATCGCGGCCGATGGTTTTCCCAGAGTTCTAGCCTCGGAAAACAGCGCGCCAGAATGACCGATACATGTTGACGGTCAAGACGAGGGGCTCGGAGCCGCCTCTATGATTCTTGCACCATGCGCTAAGAAGACTGATGGCCGTGGCCTTCTCCTCAGGTGTCAGGTCGGAGGGCTTGGAGATGAGGACTCCAGGCGCTCGTTGGTTGGTGGTGTTGCGGTCGTCCATGATATGCCTTGCGCATAGAGGGACGGGGGCGGGCGTATCTTCCACTGGCTCCGGAGCAGACATGATGATGGCGGTTTGAGGGTCGAAAAAGAAGGGGAGAGGTTTGAATGAGAGTTGTTTTGGAGGGGAAGGTTGGAGGTAGTTCTTTGTTTTTGTTCTGGGTCGTTTGACGTTTGACAGGTTCCGCCTTGTGGGGCTCAAACAGGGCTAGGCGCCCCACGCATACCAGCCGGCCACACCGCCAAATAAAATAAGTCACCAGTACAAACGCGCTTCAGCTGCGGTAATCAAATGATGGCTACGAGAGTAGATACAATTAACAAAATATTACTTAAATACCTAATAATTATGAGAAATCATTATGACCATTTAAAATTACTATTTTTAGTAGGTTAGCCTTTATAATCTGACAATTACATAACAGGCTTTGGAAGAGCTAGAGTACCTTGCCCTGACTGTGTCTTGGTTATTTTGACCTCCCAGGGGAGTGGCCCAGGCTAACGCAGGTCCGGAGTGCCGGTAGCTGTTCGCCAAGGGTCCCTGAAGATGGTGGGACAAACCCCACTTTAGACCCCAGGAGATCTTAAAGAGTCGATCTCAATTCTGCGATGGCACAAAGTTCTTATTTCTACGTGCAGCAAATACGTTGCGTATGAGTCAAGGTAATCACAATTCACTTAGGCAGGTCTAGACTCAGGCCAAACACTTCCAACACCTTTCCTGTGTTTGGTCTCCCTGTTTAGGAACTGGGAGCAGGTGCACTCCCTGGGGGTCCAAGGGCAAGATCGGTTTATTGCATGTACACTAGAATAAAACAGGGATCCAGTTCTTGGGCTCAAGAAAATCAACTTCGATTACACACACACCCTTTTCCTTGGATCCAGATTGTGGAACGATATTCGTCATCGGTATGTCATGCCAGGGTATCACCCACAACGTTTAGCTGACTGTGCATGCAGACACTGGGCTGCAAAAGCAGGAGGGTTACAACCCCCGAGCCGGGATGAAAACGCTGCTAACAGCGCCCATTTCAACGTCGTCCGCTAGGCAGCGGGCTCGTGCTGGTCGGACTGGGCCAGGTATTTGTTACCGCCTCTACACCAAGGAGGCCCATGACAACGTTCTCTGGCAGAACACCCCTCCTGGCGTCCACACTAACGAGGTGGCCAACTAGATTCTTTAACTAAAGGATCTAGGTGTCGAAGAAGTGGCGCAGTTCGACTTCATCGACCCGCCAATGCCAGAGACTTACCTCCGGGGCATCGAAGAGCTGAAGGCAGTGAGTGTGAGTACTGGAAGGTGAGAATGGCGTCTCGGAGTACGTGCTAACCCTTGTTTTCAGTGGCTATATTGATGCCAGAGGCTCCATCACCCAGGCAGGCAGGAATGCCACTCGCTTCTCCGTTGACGCGATGTGATACAATGTTGCGGAGGCGAACCAACTCAGGTGTCTCAGCGAGATCATCGGGATTGCTGCTATTGCAACCACGCAAAACGATCTTTTCTCGCGACCGCACACATACCGGTACGCAGCTGATCCGACGCTCCGCCAGTTTGGACATCCCATGTCAGATCTCATTGCACGGCTCAACGCCATGCACAAGTACCTCCACGTGGCAAAAGCGGCTCCCGCAGACCTCGATGCACGGTGCCACAGATCCTTCATCAATGGGCGTGTGGCTGCCCAAGTCACGGCTATCCGCAACCAGCTCAACCAGCAGGTTCGGATACATGTGTGTGGGCGAGGAAAGGTTTCGTCGTTGAGCGCAATGTATTTGGAGTATGATATAAAGATCTGTAAGGCTTTTGCTGCCGGCTTCTACCACAAAGCGGCGCTTATCGTAGATGATGACATCTACAAGACGTACCACGGGCACCACACTGCCGGCATTAGCCCCGATAGCTGCCTGGTTGGCATGGAGTGGGAATAGGCCATCTGTCTGACCTTCAGTTCGTCTGGTGTCCAGTACCTGCGCATGGTAACTGCAGTCGACCCGGAATGGCTCATAGTATGTCTTCTTCTGCTGTTCACTCTACACATGTTCTGTGCTAATGTTCATGCTACAGGACCGTGAGTTCTTCCGCGACGAAAACATCCCTCGGAACTGGCACGGAGATTACCGTAACCGCAAGGTCAAGGAATCTTTCGATCGCGCAAGAGCTGCTCAAGCTTCGAGACAAGCATCATAGAACGCTCGGCAACCAGCATCCGACAACAAGAAATGGCGATCTCGGTCCTAACGGAACCCATCTCCTGCAATGTTCGGTTCACTCTCATCATAGAGCCTAACGGCGCCCGTCTAGTACGGTATTGAATTTCTCACCCTCGGGCCTAACGGCACCCGTCTGACGGTATTTTCTTGATCGGGGAGGGCAGGGCGTGGTGGATAAGACGTCGTTCATGGGAGCGCGCAGTTTTAAGACATGTAGTGCTTGTTCGAAACCTGGCCGTTAATTGACAACGTACCCGTGAATGATTGAACCTTACCTTTCCAATCTCCCCCAAACAGTAGCTGTCGTGTTGACACGGGATTTTTAGGCTTGTGGGCACTCTCTGGCTTGAAGTATCACTTAGGTGGAATACAACCGATAGAGCAGGTGGCTTAAGTCTTGCGTGATACAGACGCTGCAGCGAGACTGAAGGTTTTGTGCGATGGCCGCCGCAGAAGTACAAGGACCAAGTCACAGAAGACACCAGAGAAATTAGAATCATAGCTTTCCTACTGCAACGTATCTACGTCGCAACAATACACATATCCATCGTTCCCATCGCCCATCCAGATCTCAAACCCCAGCATTACTAGACTGGAACGTTTCTGAATGCGATGGCGGGTGTTGCAAGCATGGGGGCAGTTCTGCCTTGAAGAAAGAGTACCGTCGAAACGGGGGCATTTCTGCCTCGATCGAGAGATGCAGTATGACACATCCAGAGATTTTCTTTCAAAGTCACTTGATGCATGGTCAGCATGTTTCTCACAGGACTGAGAATGAATCACTCACCAGTGATCGGTCCCATGGTTCTTGGGTCCCGTTTGGGAACGACGACCTGTACCTTCAAGGTGGGCTGCGTCCTCACGACCTTACTCTGTCCTTTGTATCTATACCTTGTACCATATTACAAAAGGTTTATGATTATAATAGTAGGCTTTTATACAAAGAATTTAGTATTCTTTGTTTGTTTTATACCTTTATTTGTTAATTTTAGTCTAAAGTACGTCTCATTGGCCCCATGAAGCCCTTACGGCCTACCTCCAGCGTGATGTCTTTTTCTCAGCCAGATACACTCTTCAGAATCCCACTAGGGAGCAGCCCTTCGCACCAACAAAACAAGTATTGGGTTCCTAAAGCCAGATGTTAGTTCGCAGTTCATTAAACGCAGGAGTTTATGGCTTACGTTTCTCAAAAGGCATCTTCGGGGGGCTCGACAAAGGGGCCAACGTCGACAGCGCCACGCAAGATGTCGATCATTTCAGCCATATATGGGCGGGCGAGAAGGACAGTTACCATTTTGGTCGGAAGGTCTTGGGCACGAATCTCGGGTGGTTGCGCTGTTCCGGCCGCAGCGAATTGAACCACACGGCGCCGTGCCAGAACCACGAGGTACGCCCGATTGTAGCCCCCCAAGAGATCGATCTGGCTCGAGTCGTAGTTGTTGACGCAGGCATGTAAGGCTAGCCTTGTCCGGGTAGAGAGTGTACTCCACCATGCTGTGATTGACACATTTTGCGCCCTCCCTCTTGTTGTACCAGCTGATCGTTTCGTTGTCAAGGTTGAGGGCAAGGCCAAGATAGGCCGTTTCACCGTCGTAGGGGGGACGTTCCTTGACCGCTTCGGGCTGGCCGCGCTCAATTCTGCGGCGGTTGAAAGCGTTGACGCTGACAATGCCAACCGGAATCGACGCGTCCTCGAGGGTCGGGACGCGAGGCTTGCTCGGGACCCTGACAAACCTCGAAGAATCCTATCCTTGGAAGACTGCCTGCCAGAAGTCGTGGTACATTCGTTCCGTCACCTGGATGGAGGGCCGCATGTCGCCTCCGAAGGAACGAGTCCACGCGCGGAGAAGGTCCACCGCTGTACCTTTCTCCTCGGGAGTGAGGTCCGAGGGCTTGGCGACGATGGCTGTTGCTGCTCTCAGCTCTTCGAGCCCGCGGATGTAACCCTCTGGCATTGGCGGGTCGATGAAATCGAACGGCGCCGCTTCGTCGACGCCCAGATCTTTCAGTCGAAGGATCTTGTCGGCCACTTTGTCACTATTCTATTGACGCCTAGAGGGGTATTCCACGAGAGGCCGTTGTGTAGGGGCTGTCACGACCAGCTCGTTGTCGGGCTGATGCCTTCGAGATGGGAGCCGTGAGCAAGGTGGTCATTCCCACACGAAGATTATACCTGACCTTCTTCTCTTTCCCCGCGTCTGGGATCCTCAATTGGCGAGGGAATCATGCCGATGACATAGACAACCCCTGGGATCGTTACACTAGCTTCTGCAACGCTGGTCGAGACGATGCATTGCTGGGTGGCTGACTTGCTCATTGCAAGACGCTGGGCCTCGGATGGGAGGGCAGAGTAGAAGGTTAAGACCCGGAGACTTGGCACTCTGCGACGGGTCATCACTCATGCTTCCTCGATCTCCCGTGGTCAAGAACAAGAGAATATCTCCCTTGGGCTTGTTCTTGACAATCATTTTCACCACTCGGTAGGCACAGGTCAAGTAGTCTGGCGTGGCTTCCTTGAGGTACTGGATTTGCACTGCAAAGCCTGCCCAGGGGCCCGGAAAACGTCCTGTCTGTTGAAGTATCGGGTGAACTTCTCAAGGTTGATAGTGGCCGGCATAACCACAACCTTCAAGTCATCGCGGTGCTCCATGGCGTGTTTGAGCAAGGCCAATACCATGTTGGTGGCCTAGTCTGTCAAGACGTATTTTCGATTGGACTGGGTTCCGCAGTCAATTCGTTTCTCGTGCACTGAGAGAAAGGGTTGACACATCACTGCGATGACGCCGGCCATGAAGTTTTGCCAGGGAACAACAAGAGTCCCAACGTCTAAGATGTATGTCGCAAGGCAAAAACTGTAAGAGTCGAGGTCGTCTACTCAGGATGAGTATGCCGCAAGGCAAAACGTGCAAGATCGGTGTCGTCGGCTCAGAATGAGAGTGTCGCGAGGCGTGCCCTATCTTTCAGGACAGACATCGTCTCTCGGAACGTGGATACTAGCTAGGAAGAACGTGATGCCCTTGTAGCTCGGGCCCGGTCGAGGGAGGCATTGGCATATGGGTTCTTCATGGTTCTCCCACCGAACTTGTACGCCAGGTTTTTATCCTGGAAATGCTCGAGGTCCTGCAACAAATTAGCGGCTTACTTGAAGGAACAAATAAACAAAACTTACCATAATCCAGGTCGAGTCGATAGCTATTACATATCTCATGTACTAGAGTCCGGTAAAGGAAATGTGATCACATATGACCCACTCATACTTCTCGCCGACTAGACAGCTATCTGGCTCAGGCACGACTGGGTGGTTGTCGTGGACAGTCTTGTAGGTGCCCCTTCTGTCCAGATGGGCGGCTTTGTGATAAAAGCCGGCCGCCAAGCTCTGACGGATCTTCAAATCAAAGTTCGGGTCAGAAGGCTCCAATGCTGGCACGGCCTCATTGTCGAGCATGCGCCTGGATACGCTTGTCATCAGGCTGTTGCGCATCTTCAGGACCTGATCTGCAACCTTCGGGTTGATGAACGACATTGGACACCATCTAGCCAGCTTGTCTTCATCACCGGCAGATTCGATTCGGCGATGGATGTACATGTGGAATGCGTTCAGTCGTGCCAAGTGGTCGGACTTAGCATCGGAGTATTGCTGCCGTATAACGTCGGCGGCGTATCGCGGTGCATTGGGCCGTATGATGATGTCGTCCTGCGTGCTGAGCAGGCACGTGATGGTGACATCTGCTTGGCCTTAAGGAACACATTATACCAGGCAAGGTCTACAGGCATACCCACTGCCATAGATCCCTTTGTCGTGAGCTTGGCATCGGCATCAATATACTCCCTACTTTATGTGTCAGTACAAAATGTGAAAGAGACGACCACGTCCAAGACTCACAGGGCACGGAGTTCATGAAGAGCCCGGAGCAGTGTGAAAAAAACTCAACCCAGAGTTTGCAGTAGCAAAGAATGCCTCGCGATGGACTTTTTGTGATCGCGTTTTCACTGTATCTCTGGTTTATCCCCCAGCAGGTGCCAAACAGCAGCCAGGTTCCATCGACAAAGTTGAAGTCGGAGATTTTGTGAAAGCCGTAAGACTTCAGAACCAGGACCTCTGCCATGACCTCGCTGGTTAGCATTCCAGGAGGTTTGTTTGCTACGAGAGACTTGTCGAAAAAGTCCTTGGTATAAAGACGGTAGCAAATACCGTCCTGGATGCGACCAGCACCGCCAGCTCGTTGTTTAGCTGAGGCCTTCGGGAGGAGAGCCGTTAGGAGCGTTTTCATTCCGGTTGAATGTTGTCGTACGGCTTCTGGAGTCCGGTATATATAAACGACGGGAGTCTCTTAGGAGGAGCTTTGATTGGTTTCAGCATAAAGATGAGTCAACAGCTAGAAAGAATTTTATGAACTTTACCTTGCTTTAGAGTATCTCCTCCTAATCTGAGATTACTATAGTATAATCCATTTGAAGAGATCTTGATGAGGATTTATGAGGACGGACCTAATGGTCTGCAATCGGTCGTTCCCTGTCTGTAGGCAGTTGAGGTCAGCCAATTTTGTGGGACATAGCCGGACATGACATACCGATCGCGAGTGTGACGCCATCAATGGTCAAACCGTCCTCGGCGACATTTGTCGACACAATGCACTTTCGGCCTGTCTTGGTGTCCATGACACCCTCCATCTGGGCTCTCGAGAGCGACGGGTAGAGAGGCAAGACCTGGAGACCAGGCACTTTCTTCCTGATCAACCCGCACGTCTCCTCGATCTCCTGGACGGAGGTCATGAACACCAAGATGCTTCCCTCAGGCTTGGTCTGCGCGACGTGGGCGACCGTTTCCAACACTGCCTTCCGGTAGTCAGGCGTCGCCTCCCGCAGATACTGAATCTGGACGGGTTAGGCGTGTCCCTGGGCGTGGAACATGTTGGACCCAGGATGGTGAAGGTGGTCAAGTCGATTGTTGCCGAAATTACCACGACCTTGAGGTCTGGCCGCATTCCCATTGTCTGCTTGAGGAGGGCCAAGAGAAGATCGGTGTTCTTCGTCCTCTCATGGGCCTTGTCCACCATCACGCAAGCCTGTAATCGTCAGCAGTGTTCCTCTATGACACGATTCCAACTTACACATCTGCTAAGCTCTCTGTCAGAACGAAGCTCTTGCAGCAGGAGGCCGTCGTTAGGAACTTGAGGCGCGTTCGGTCGTTACTGGTGTTGTCGAACCGAACGGCGTAGCGGACCTCGTCACCCAGGTCCACATCGAGCTCCTGGGCCACGCGCCGGGCTGCGCTGGTTGCCGCAATCACCCTGGTTTGAGTGCAGGCGACAAGCAGGCCACTCTCCCACTCGTCGAACAGGATGAACTGGGAGACCTGAGTGGTCTTTCCGCAGCTAGCCGGCCTGGTGTGCGCCGCAAAATTCTTGGCGTGCCTCTTCTTGGCAGATTGGGAGCCGGTTACTGCGCTGTGCGGGGCCTTCAAGTGAAGCCTAGGAATGCGGCTTGCTGATGGTCGACGGGCTGGGCCGTCCATCTTCAAGGCGCCGGCCTCCTGCGCAGCCGTCTAGTCCCGCCTGATGCTGTCAGCAGGGACAGGCCGGTTCTGCTGGGCTTGAGTGGGCTCCATGGTCGCAGTGCTGCTGTGTGGGTGCGATGCTCGTGTGTGTATATATAAAGCAAGGATGGTGGCTTATTCTCGCATCTCCCGGCTGGGTGTTCCGTCGGGTAGCGGTGGCGAAGAGAATGGTTCATATATAGATCGGCTGTGGAAAGATTGAGATTATTCACAAGGTAGGAAGGGGAGGATTTTATATCCCCAATGGAGTCATGGCTGTGAGTCACGTGCATTGATTGATTGATTGATTGAGACAAACCCGGTTGGCCGAAGTGTCCTCCGTTGGCAGGAGCAGAGCGCCGTCACGTCGGTGACCAAACAGCAGCTTGCAAACTAACAATCCAATTCACCAACCTAAACAGTTTACAACCCCAATTGATTTCAACGGATTCCCACATGTTGATCTATTCATTGAATCAAACAAGTTGGGCGATTTTGCTACAAACTCGCTATCTAGATGGGCGGTTGCTGCGGCTGCTTTTGGAGGAGGACCAAGAGGGTTGCCATCTCGCCTGGTATCGGCACAGGCTGGATTTTTCTACGCCTTGAAGAAGTTGTAGATTAACACTAAAAGTGGCTGCCAAATCCATGGCTGCTCGCATTCCTAATCGCAAGAGCGTTGGCAGTATGAGGGCCACGGATGATTAGGGAGGTGGAATGTGGGCGGCACTGGTCACGACAGGAGAGATTCTTAGTCTAGCACACGATAAGAAAACAGCTCCATTGCTTCCCAATGCTCATCAGGAAAGACTCCCTGGTCTACAGATCATCCAGAGAATTCTACCTAGCTACGTAAGTTGACCGGTCTTAGCTTCACCAGGAGCCAAACACTCCTGGCTACTGACCCAGAACACCGCGTGAAGGTGCCGGCCGTCGCTCTGGTGCCTCCGCAAAGGCCCCGCGAGGGGCCTTTACATCATCAGCGAAATGAAACCAACAACAAAGACTCAGACAACCGGAAAAACTCTCTATGGTCCGTTCAAAACTGAATGGCGCTAGCCATGAAGTCTTGTGAGGCAAGAGAGAGATTATATCGGTCAAAAAAGAAAGAAAGAAAACGTCGCGAGACGTAACTATCTTGGTTGGATAGGCAGTGATTGCTTTAATGCCTTGTCGCGATGGGGATGTCGTCAAGCTGGTAGTGCTTCGAAAAGGGGGTGCCGTTAGGCCCGCCGTTTTTCAAAGTGTGAGAATGCCGAAAGACCATCGCTGTTCCAAAAAGGAGTGCCGCAAAGCACATTGCTGTTAAAAATAATCATGCCGTAAAGTCCATCGTTCTTCAGAATAAGAGGTACCGTAAACCCATTGTTCTTCGGAAGATGTATGCCGCTAGGCGCATCGTGCTCCAACAAGGATGTGCATGTCGCTAGACAGACTCCGACTCAGTCTTGGCTCTGGCCCGGTCGAGGGAGGCCTTGACTTCGGGGTTCCTAAGCGTAACTTGGTCGTATTTGCGCGCCAGGTTGTGATCCTGGAAGTGTTGAAGGTGCTATTACTTGTTAGCTGGGGGTGTTGTGTTGAGATCAAGAGGCCATAAACGTACCATAATCCATTCAGGTTCAATGGCTGTGATGCAGTGCATATACTGGACCCTAGCGAAACGGATGTGATGGTAAACCACCCACTCCCACCCCATGCCGATGAGGCAGCTGTCTGGTTCAAGCGCGACTGGGTAATTCTCATGAACCGTTTTGTAGTTGTCATCGCCCCTTCTGCTCAGGATCGCGGTCTTGTGGCAGAAGCCAACTGCCAGGCTTTGGCGAATCTTTGCACTGAAATCCGGGTCCCGGGGATCTAGGGTCGGCACTGGGCCACCATAGAGCATTCCATGCGAAACCTCTGGCATCAGTCCGCCTCGCATGAGCCTGGCCTCCTCGGCAACCTCCAAGTTGATTCCCTGGCTCTGGCACCAGTTGGACAACTCTGCTTCGTCGGAACAGATATCTCGGCGGTGGAAGTAGGCAAGGAAGGCATTGAGTCGAGCCAGGTGGTCGGAATCAATGTGACCGAAGCACTGCCGCTTGACATCAACACTGTATCGCTGCTCATAGGGCCTCACGAATAAATCTTCCTGCGAACTAAGTAAGCAGGCGATGGTGACAATTTCGCCCAGGCACCCGAGCTTCTCCGCCTCAAGGAACGCGTTATACCAGGCAGGATCGATAGGGGTGGGCAAGCACACGGCTATCTCGCCCTTTCGAGTGATGTTGGTATCGCTATCAGTGAAGCCCCTATTTTCCCATGTTAGTTCATCATGCCACATATGAGTACCTTAGGCTAGCTACTACTTACAAAGCGCGGAGCTCAGCCAAAGCTCGCAGAATCGTCTCTGTGTGAGGGCGGTCGACAAAGTTGAACTTCGAGATCTCATGATAGCCACAGCTTTTCAGCATCAAGATCTCCCTTGTCATCTCGCTGGCGTGGATTGCGAGATGGTTATTGGGGGGGCAGATCCAGTTGAAGGTCTGCTTGGTGTAAAGTCGGTAGCAGATGCCACCCTGCTGATTCCGACTGATCTGGGCGGCTCGTAGCTGTGCTGTAGGCTTAGGGATCGGGACCGTCATCAAAGTGTACATCCCTACACGCGGGCTATACCTGAATTGCCTGCACCTGCCCTTGTCTTGGATCCTAGTTAGTCTATCAAGTAGGAGGAAGGGGGGCTTGTGGCGAGTATCACGTACCGATCACATAGGTGATCTCGGGGATCTTCACGCTGACCTCAGCCAATCCAGTAGTGACGAAACACTTCTGGGCTCCGTCATCCTGAAGCGCATCGGGCGATGCGGGAACTTGAGACAAGGGGAGGGTCTTGAGGGTGCGGACATCCCGGCCGAGCCTCTCACAGGCGCCCCAGACATCTCGGTCAGAAGTTAGGAACAAGAGGATGTTCCCTCTGGGCTTAGACCTGACGATCATAAGGCTGCAGGCGGTAGTCAAGGCATCAGGCGTTTCCTCCTCCAGGTATCGGATTTGGATGGCGTTAGCTCGCTCGGCAACACGGAAGACGTTGCGGGTCCCGAAGAACTTGGTAAACTTGTCGAGGCCGGTATCGACGTCCAAGACAATGACAACCTTCAAGTCATCACGAGCCCTGGTAGCATCCTTGAGCAAGCCCATCAACATATCTGTCGCCAGGGTTCGCTCATGTGCCTGGTCGATGACAATGCATCCCTACTGTTGTCAGATACAACCTGCAATCAGCACGGGGCATAACCTACATAGTCATGGAAGCCGCGGCGAGATACAAACTCCTGAAGCAAGAAGCTGTCGGTCAAGAACTTCAGGCGGGTGTCACCGCTGCTGCGATCCCAATCGCCACTATGGGTGTAGCATCCAACGATGCCGCCGAGAGGAAGCTCCATCTCGCTGGCAACCTGAGCTGCTGCGCTGGATGCAGTAGAGCCGCGAGGCTGTGTACAGCCAACAATCTTTTCGTCGTGCATCCATTCATCAAAAAGGATGAACTGCACGAGCTGTGTGATCTTGCCGCAGCCCGTATCCCCGACGACGATGGTGATCTAGGCATGAGATATGAGCACGTAAATCTTAGGAACAAGACTAGATATACTTACTCTTCCCGACTGGAAGCACCGGAGAAATTCCTGACGGTTCTCAGGGCGGCAAATCGAGTATTGTTCGCGGCGCCTGCTGAGGTCCGCAAAGTACTCGGCAGAGTGCAAGCTGCCGGGCAGAAAGGGGTTTTTGGTGGCGTCTTCGAGCGCCATGGCCTGCTCGGCCGTCATGCGGTTCCACAGCATAGACTCCATGGTAATAGACCGTGGTGACTGAAATAGTGGGAGAGCAGAAAGAATGGTTGTGATCTTAGTCGTGGTGGTTATTGCGAGATGGTCTTGGTGATGCAGCGATTTTGCCTCAACGAGAATTTTTGAGCGCACAAAATGTAAACAAACGATTGACCGTAATTCACGTGATGAACATCAAACTAAAGCCCTGTAGGCCATTTGATCTCTGCCCGAAGGGGACGTTGTCCGGTGAAGGACTGGCTGCCAGCTGGCCGGCAGTGCTGGGAGTTACAGACGATCACGGGGGCGGGAATCATAGAGCCTCTTTTCCAAGATGACCAGTGCCAGATCTGGGTTTGGGGCTCACATTCTAAAGTTCATCACACGGTCAGGGGTTGGTCAGGATATCTACGTTTTCATAGAACAACGCTTCAATAGTGCAAACGAGACATGACAGAGGTGTCGAGGCAAGAACTAATGACTGGATGGGGGCATATCAGCACTCAGTCGAGGCCCACAACAATCTTAGTAAACGACAGAATACTCATGCACGTAAACTGCGGCCATTTGTCTTGATTAGAAAGAGCGCAAGCCCTGGTTCCAAACGGAACACTACATACGAAACCCCTAACTAAGACGTGGCCGGCTCGTAAACAAACTCGTACACAATCATACCAATTCCGGCCATACTAGCGGGATGCTGCGAGGCATTCTGCAGAGTCAGGGACAGAAGAGTACTGAACACAGTTGTGAAAAGAAAAAGAAAATGCCGCTAAGCATATAACAAAAACCAGAAACCTCTTCACATCATGAGAGTAAAGCTGGCTAACAAGGATACGGTTAGGCAGATATCCGAGATAACCAAGTTCTGCTCGCCATGACGGCACCGACAAAGTTGAAGTTGAAGATGGAGCTTATCGACAAGAATGCCGCTAGGCATACAAGTAGAGAAGCAGGGTCGTTTGTCCAGCAACTGAACTTCCAAGTGCTGTGTGTTGTATCGATGTGAGTGTCGTGTGAAGAAGCATGCCGCTAGACAGTTCCCAGTATGTTCGAAGCAAAGACGTAGGCGGGGAGCGTCGTGGTAGTGATTCATCTACCATGGGGCAACTTGATGAAGGTCTCCTCGTCCTCGACCTCCTCTTCCTCGATCACCCCGACGTTGATCTCCTCTTCCTTGGCCCCGGCCTCGATTGATCTGGTCTGGGCCACCTCGACCCCAACCTCCTTGGCCTCGACCTCCTTGACCTCTTTGCCCTCCACGACCTCCTCGAGCTGCCTGGCCTCCTCGTGTCCATCCCTGGGCTCCCCCTCGCTGGATGTCGGGCCTGGAACCGGGGTGGAACTTCTGGTACAGCGTCTCGGGTGCGCCATCCCAGCTTGAAGCTCTCTGATGATCCCCTGCACCCTCGATGTTTCGCTGCGTAGCCCGGTAATCTGGTCGCACAGGTACCCTGTCTACGATGATCTCCTCGCCAGAGGGATCCTCGTTGTCAGCGACAAAGACAATCTCTCCCTCAACCTTGGGCTTCCAGTCTCCTCTTGGGACCCAGTTCTTGTCCACAGACCGTCCATGCGCCTGCCACTCGGTGTAGAGATCCCAGTCACCCCAGCTGAGACCGATTCCGGGAGGTGGATGATGGTGGATGAAGTGACCATTTGACGTCAAGGATCGCACATCAGTCTGCTCGCCAGGAACCAGGAATTCCTCAGATACAGACATAGGAGCAATAACGTCGCCCCTCTTCTCTTTCTTCTCAGGGAAGATATGCTCCGGTCTCCACTGCTTGTTCTCTCCACGACACCACATCCCTATGGCGTTGGGAAAGATCCTGATCGTATCCGTATGCGGGGCAGAGGCAGAGAAGACGTCGTTCAGCATCTCAATGTTGCGGGTGTCTTGGTCGTCGGGGGGTTGCGTCGGCCTACGCGCTTGATGCCATTCCTCCTAGTCGTCGGCTTCATACTCGGGTAGGTCGTTCAGGGCGATGGTCTTGGATTCCCGCTTCCCGTTCTTTACGCGGGTGATACAGATTCTGATCTCACTGGGGCCCTCGGAGCCAATCTCGAGCCCAAAAAGTTGCTGGGAGCGAACAAGTAGCTCGCCGTTGGGACCCCTCTTGGTCCGCGACCAACCCTGTATCCCGCGAGCCCGCAGCTCTTCATCTTCGCGCTCGAGTTCTTCGAGAGCGGCTTGCTCGGCCTCTTGGGCACTTCTGATGGCCGCTTCGCGACGGTCTCTTTGCGTGGCATCCTTGGTGCGGGGCTGTGCAGCGCGTGCCTCACAAGGAACAACGGGAGGGACGGCGGCACGGATGGGGAGGGCATAGGCCGGAGGAGGAGGGTTCTGAGGCCGGGGACGGGGGCGGGGGCAGGGGCGATTGCTCGGGGATCCAGGCCGAGACTCCTGAGGAGCATTCTTTGGGAGTGTTAGGCTTGAGGTCTGTCGTCAGGTCAGGAGCGGGCACTTGCGTTGCCGATCCAAGGAAGATCGGGGGGTTGGTGGTTCCAACGACGCGACATTTCTATTTTCTGTTAGCATGAATGAATAGGGAATACACGGTGGTTATATGAAGCTACTTACTGCCTGCTGCAGTAGCTATAGCTGGTGTGGTGTGGTGGTGGTGATGATGGTGATGGTGTTGCGCGAACGTGATGATTTTGTTGAATTTGTTTTAGAAGCGGGCTAAGATAACTCCTCTAGATTCTATTGGAAGCAGACAGAAGTCAGAGAAATTCTACTGCGTCTGTTTTGGGTGATTTTCCACGAGTCTGTGTTGACACTGTCGGGCACTGCCAGCAGCTGGCACTCGTTATCCAAGAGATCCATACTAGCCACTCCTCCATAAAGGCAGAATAGCTTGCCTTGGCAAATCTCATTAATTCCATTCATGTTATTCCTTCAAGTATCATATCAGTAAAATGCTGCCCTCTTGGTGATTTCCTTTAGGGTTTCATGGCCTTGGTCAATCGTTCCCCTCCGCCTCAAATGATGTCTTCTTCTTATGTGCATAAACCATCGTGTCAAGGACAAAGAGCATTAGTCTAGAGCTCCAAGAAGAATTATGCGGGGGAGCCACCACTAGACGCCTCTCGAGCATTTCATGACTCAAAATTCCTCCTGATTGCGTAGGCAGGTAGAAAGTTGTGAAGTACCATCAACAGTCCAACTCCTGATGGGCGCCCTGACGACTAAGGGCCCTGCCACACTCAGCCACGGTCCCTTGTGTGCCTGGCATGCCAAAGCCCATGTGGCTTAGCAGACCCACATATTTGTTTCATGGAACACTGCAGCCTTCCAGCTTCTCGCGGCATGCTTACCAGCCCGTGATGCAATGGCTTAAGGACATTACTGAGGTGTCCTCACCCGTGGATATCGGGCCGTGGCCAGCCTAACGGTAGCCATGTCAGTAAAGCAGCCCTGACTATGGAGGCACTGGGTCACTACCCATCGATGATGAAAAGGTTATTTGAGTCTTTGCGGAGGTACCAGAGCGAAGGTTGGCACCTTCACGTGGCGACCCGGGTTAGTACCTAGTTACGAGCCTTGGAGCTCTTGGTGAAGCCAAGACGGGGCAACTGGCAACTCATGTAGACTACCTGGTAGGGTATGGAGCTCTGCAGTTGATCATCACCCACCCAATGTCATTAGCCAGGAACAAGCGTGAACTAACCCCACAACTCGAGCAACTCCGAGCGGGTCTTTTTATGCCATTCACAAGGAAACGAGACGCCAGAAGATCAAGAGGGTTCCTAATCTCCTCAAAGGCATATTAAGAAATTAAATAAAAAATATCCTAAAATAATGTAATAATCTAGATGATTTTTTATCTATTTTTATTTTCTTTTATTTACTATAATTATGAGAGAATAAACCAATGTCTATCCCCGTGTCTCACTTTTTCGTCGGCCCAGCTACCCTTGTCTTAGATCATGCCCCACGCTTATCCTCGCTAGCACTCGATCGGCACAACCATCTCTTCGGGCCGTGTGTGATAGCTCCAGTTCCCGGCTGAGCCTGAGTTGACCTCTTCTCTGACAATGAAATGCGAGCTGCATCATGACCCTTCCTGCCACATCGACGGCTTGAATGTCGCAGTGTCAGCTACTCCACATCTTTCTTCGCCGCAGCCAGCATCTAAGCTTTGGCCACTGGGTCGGCTCTCGCGAGACCCTTGGATCCACTCTTGGACTGCTGTGGATGTCACTGTTTAGTCTCTAAACGTCCGGTCCAACATCAAGAGACAGGAGGGGCCCTATGGTAGGCAGGCAGCAGAGCACTTTTAGACCTGCATTCGCTGAGCTGTGTCGGGAAGCCCGGAGTTGTCATAACAACGGGACCTAAACATCTCCGCCCGACAATGAGGAGATGCATCTACCCTTGAGCAGGAAAGGGAATCCCTCTATTTCGAGTTCATGTTTTTTTTTACCTTCGTGTCAGAGACAGGGTCCATTAATCCTAAGCGCCGAGAAGAGTCGGTCAGTAAAGCCACTACCGGATATCCCCTGGGCATTTCGCGACATCAAATTCCTGATGAACGCCATGGTTGTCGGGAACAACCTTGATTGCCTTTGCCCATTTCGCGAGTGTCTTGTGGAAGCAGCGACTGAATATGAGTCGAAATTAGATCATTCTCACTATCGAAAGGCGTGGTGGCAGAGTGGTCTAATGCGATAGACTAGAAATCTATTCTCTTCGGAGGCGTCTGTTCGAATCAGGCCCACGTCGATTTGTTTTTTTTTCTTTTTCTTTTATACCTTGATTTTCACTTATGATCTCTTTCGTGTATTCATTCATCATGATAGCGACTACGGATAACTTTTTTTGTCCATTTTTCTTCAAGCCCTTGGTCCGAGAAGATTTGTGTCACTATCGCCACCACGTGTTTCTCCTGTCTTGCTTGGCTAAATGGCTTAAGTGACTATTGAAGCGGCTTGCTGATAGTGCTCTCGCCGATTAAACATGTGTAAGTTTATTGTTCCTTACCAAAGCCTTGATAAACTTACACTCTTTCCCCTTGGAGGCTTGCATGATCCTACGTCGATGGTTTGTTAGTCTTGGACTTGACTGGTTGGTGCCTCAATACCCAGAGTCGCGGGTTTGTCTCAACGCCATTAGATCATTAAACAAGAAGGCTTTGAAGATGTTTGTTCGACATTGCGCTCAACAACAGCAGTCTCATTTGCCAAAAATTACATTTTACCATCAGATTTAAGGCCAGCAATTATAATTGCAATATTCATGCGTTTTCTACCTATGTCCATCTTGTTCTCGCAGAGAGCCAGCACTTCTCCCACTTACACGCTCTTACCCTATGCCTCCCTCAAAATCTCAAATCTTTGCCTCCGCAATCAGTGGTCCGATTCTTGTCGGCCAAGGTGCCCAACAGAGTTACACTATCGATAAAGGCGGCGGATGGTGCCTGAACGCGCCAAAATCCTCCCAACCGACCGCCATTCACGAATAATAGCGTCTACCTGGGGATGGTCTGGGCCTTCGCATCGAGGGCTACACTACGACCACAACAAATGCTCGACACTCGTGACACCCCACAAACCTGGCACACGGCTCGGAGGGATGGAAATCACCCAGGTGAATGTTACTACTGATCTCCTTGAGAGATATCTTCAGATATGCTAACATCAAGTCTAGTGAAGGCGTCTAGTCGATTTGTCATGAGTCAATAGCTACATGGCAAACGAGATAGTCAACGTGGGGCGGCTTGATCGATCGTATTAACGACCTTGGAAGGCGATTCACCTGGATGAGACATTCGATTGAGTCGAGATCGTGGACTGAGACACTTCTTATTCGACCCACTGACGGCTTCAAGACCAGTGGAACAAACGGAAGCTTCGTTGGGCAACCCAGCAAAGCCGGTAAGACGATGATCGCGTTCCTGTGTCAACTCTGTTTCCCCAAAACCGTGAGATCAACGATCTTGAACGTCATGAGATGGATGGATAGCTCCGCTGCAGATAATCCCGTGATCAGGTACCCCCAGCAGGCAAACCGACAATCGGGTTGGTAGTCTGATGTCAACAATAACCGAGGAATCTATCAATCAGCCTCGTTGAAGCGATCATGCAGATATAGTTTACAGAGCTGTACCTGGCCTTGAATCTTGGCCACTCGCTCGCGCCAAGTTGCATCACGCCTGCTCTCCCCGGCGAATGAGGGCATTTGGAGTCTATCGGGAGGACCGGGTAAGACGCAAATGGCTAGTCCTCTCGACCTTGGCATTCAGGACCAGATTAGAACTTTAAGCAGAGACAACTTTAAACCTCGATCTGGGCTGAGGTGAAAGACAGTCCAGACTGCGGATGGTCCCTGACCACCTCGAGTCATATCCGTCCTTCTCCATGGGGCTATGGCCGTGGACAATGGGTGGCTGAATGTGGCTTGACACGCTTTCGATTGAGACAAACGCAAAAAGGGTAGCTAAACAAAGCCATAGTCTGGCCTGCAGGGGCGATCCCTTGGTCGATCGGCTCGGCGCGTTCCAGTCCCTGGTGAGTTGCTGTTTAGACACAAGCGTCCTCGACAAGACCCAATCACGGCTCACGTCATGCAGGTCCCAACCAGGGCCGAAGAATGTCGCCCTGAGAAGAGGCAAGGCACGATCGCCTTCCCGGCCAAGTTCAAAGCTCCTAGCTCAATGACGACATTCCAAGTTCGTCGAGAACCTCGTGGGGAGCCCCAGGGCAGGGAATGCGGACGATGGGCGAGAACAGGACTCTCTTGGGTGATGAGCTCTCCGCAGACTATTGGGAACTCTAAACGCGACGAAAGCAGACGGGCGGATGCCCCGATGAAGCCACAAGATGGGAGCCCGGGGATGGTTGTGTTCCTGTGCCTGGTGTTTATAAACCACCGAGGGAACGTTGAAAAGTCCAAGTTCTTCATACTTTGCACAGTATTGACATCCAAGCTTCGTGTAACCTCCAACTACTTGTCTTTGTTGGCAAGATGTGGTTGACACGGGGGCTTCTAGCCTCTACACTCCTTACCGCCATCAAGGCACAAGACGATAACACCAACAACGACATTCCTTCACTTGATATCCCCGACCTCGCAACACAGATCCGAGGTTCCATCTTTGCTGTATCTCTAATCCCCCATGCCGAGACAACCCTGAGCGGAGGTCATGGCACCCTCGACGACAACAATGACGCCTTTCCCGCTACTGCTTTCTCTCATGATCAGTCCGCCCCTGGCGGAGCATCTCCCAACACACCCGTGGCCCAGCAGCCTCCTACTATTACGATCCCTCCTTCCACCGACTATCCTTACGAGAGAATCATCAAGGCGTACACAGGGACGCGAACCATCATCAATGTTGTCACCACGATTGCCGAGCCAGACGGAACACGAGCCGGCACAGTTATTGTAGAGCTTGCTAGCACACTCTACTCGGCCTTTACACCTGGACAGGCCGGCGCTCTGACGATCCCTCCTTCGTTGGAGGATCCCATGTTCACTGTCATTCAGGCTTTCCCTGGACCTACGACTCTGCCACCCAGGACGATTACTATTTCTGCTTCAGGAACGAACCCTGGAACTGTCATTATTCAGACTCCTTGGCCTGAGACACCAAACACGGCTGCACCTGGATCTCCTGGTGCAACCGATGCTGGCTCTCCCGATGCTGGCTCACCTGGCTCTGGATCTCCGGATTCAGGAGCCCCTGGTGCTGGTTCTCCCGACTCTGGTTCGCCTGGCAGTGGCTCTCCAGACGCTGGTTCTCCTGGTGCAGATGCTCCTGGTGCAGGTTCTCCTGGATCACCAGGATCTGCAGACACTTCCAACGTCGTCATCATCCAGACTTACACTGGTACCGTCTCCATTACTAGACCCTTCCTCACTACCATCACGGCACCTGGCGGTGGTCA